CATATTCAGTATTTCAATAAGCATCCCTAACCTTGAGTTCGTTTGATTGTGTGATAAATTATGTCTATATGCAGAAATGATATGCGAGTATTTCGATAATGTAAAATTTGATAAATATAAACCTACTTGTCTTTTTAACCCACACCATAATGGAATGTGCCCCCATTCAAACGACACAGTACAAAACAACCGCAGAAAGAAATTTTTCTGCCAGTTATGATCGATCTATAATAATTTTTCGAACTGTAAGGGGTTATGAAATTCACTGTTACCTGTAGAGGGCGGAGTGCTGAGACAAGCCGACACTCTTTGCTTGTGCCTCTCACAGGTGAGTTGATCGAACTTGGACCACTTTAATGTTTAGTAAATATTGATATTGTTATGCTAAATATTCCTTGTTGGTGGAGCCGTCGGTGTAGCTAACTATTTAAGGAAAATCCAACCTTTGTAATAGGCCTAAGTTGTTTTATATTAACGAAGAAAAATGCTACATGTTTGCGAATTTCATGTAGGCAATTTCGTCAGCGCATTGTCATGGACAACTCGTTCGTTTGTCATTTTAACAAAATATATTTATTTTATTTCCTAAGTAACTTCCTTCTTTTTAGGGCACTACTCAAAATATATTATGGATAGTATATCATCATTGGTGATTTACAAAATCTTGCTGAGTTAAACATCTTAGTCATTGACGTTAGTCGTTCTTCTGTGTGTTTGAACAAATAGCTAAGTGGTATGGCACTACGTCACAATGAGTATAACGATTCAGCCAATTTGAAGTGGCCGTATGTACATGTATAGTCATTACAATTTTCAAAAATCGTAACTTTCTTATCTGTTGTCTGATTTCATTCAAACTTTTGCCAGTGTGCATCTCTGATTGTTTTTTTGTAACGTTTAAATTACTTGTCTGTTTAGGTTGGATTTTCCTTTATGAGTGAATGATATTTTCATTCCACAAATATGGAATAACTTTTGTCGTATCGAGTTTCGCATGTACAGTAAACAATAAAGATTTTTCTTTTTATGTAAAAAGAACTCTGTCTTCATAGAAAATAGAAATGTGCCTCTCTGTTTGGTATGTTTTCTTTTTGAGTAGTTGTCTATTAAAGGGCAATCCACCCCTTGTAATAAATTGGTTTGAATGAAAGCAGAAAATAGGAGAAACAGGATGGCAAAAGTTTGAAATGAATCGGACCAATAGTAAGGAAGTTATGAATGTTTGAAAAAGAGATCACTTAGTCTATGCGAATCTCAAATTGGTAGTTTGGTCAGTGGATTGCGACGTAGGACGTGGATAACTCTCCCATTCGCCGTGTACAAAAAATATCATTAATTTCTGTTTTTCTCGCGAGTTCCTTCTCCATTGGGGCACTACTCAAAATATATTATAGACAGCATATTATTATATTTATTATATGTCCTTTAAAAGGAATTGACCCTCCTGAGCCATGACTTTTAGAAGGGAAACAAATTTGAGTCATTTTATATGTTGGAACAGATGAGATATTACTCCGGCGCATCACATTGATATTACTGCTTCAGCCAATTTGAAGCGCTCATACCTATAATGATTTAAAAATAATTCATAACTTTCTTATATTTAGTAAGATTTAATTGAAACTTTCATCAGTTTAATTCTCTTATTTGTCTGTGTTTTATACAGTAGTTGTCTGTTTGGGTTAGATTTTCCTCTAAATATATTCTGCATGGCATTGAGTACCAGGGAGCGATCAAATACACCGTTGAATAGTATAGAAACCCATGTCACAGATGAGCGAATAACTATTGGCATGATCTGAAGTCAAATTTCTCTATCGTGGGAAAAAAACTGGCAATTCTGACGTCGTAAAAAAAAAGGATTGATTCATGTGACCCTTGTAACCATGAAGTGGCTTGTATTGTCTCCTCTCCCTGTGACTAGACGGGTGAATCTATTGTTATACTGCCATCAGTTTTCAAGGATGGTGTATACTATGCCTGAATAATATCTATTTGTATAGGTGATTGAAAATAATATTTGGTTAAGCGGTTTGTTCTATTCATGATGTAAGCGTTGATAGACCTCAAGAGCGTAGCCAGGATTTTATTTTAGGGGGTGGTAGTAAGCACGCGTAGCTCGCTCCCTAGGGGGGGGGGGGTGCAGAGACGGGGAGCTTCCCCTCGCGAAGCGCGGAAGCTTTGACGTTTCATTACATTATTAGAGAAAGAAGAAGATTCGTTGTACCGTTCTCGACTCTTTAATCCTTATCTGAATTCAGTTTTCCCCCTCCTTTCTTTCTCTTTTTTTTCTTTTGGAGGCTGGCGTTTTGGGGCGGCGACCACCCCCCCCCCCTCCCGCCCACCTGGGTACGCGCCTGATAGACCTCCACGTAATGGTGATATCTTATAAAGTAGCTTATTGTGATGATAGACCAAAAGAATGCTGCCATTTGCCCTTAGATTTTTTGTGTTGTAATACCAGTGGGTTGCTTGCCTTTGCTTCGAAATATGCATATCTATTTTGTTGTTATTTTGCCTATTCATTGCTCTTGGTTTTGTTACAAAGAAAAAGAACTCATGTGACGTATGTGTGCCAGCCCTCCCGCTCCCCTCGAGAACAGAAAAGGAAGTTCTATTAAAACATGGACATGTTTCTGTCTCTGCTTATGTATTGAGTGATTTTAAACTAGAAAAAATAATCATACGAAAAATGTACCACTCTTACACTCTTTTATTTGTTTTACTCTTAAAATCCTCTATTTCCTTAGCATATCTGTTACCTTCTCTCTGTCAGAATGGATGGATTTTTATTTCTCTCTCTTATGTACCACAGACATTTCTTTTTTTAAAAGTAATTTTGCTTTATTCCTCCAAATGAGTAATACAAAAATACAATTGAATAGTATAAATACACCTTTACAATATTGATTGCTTATACATAGACATAATTAAACAAAAAACATAGACATTAAATATAAGTCAATTGTACATATTAATCACTTATATACAATTATTTTTTTTTAACTGGAGGTTATTTTACTGGTACTGCCAGCTCCCCTCCCTCACACAAACACGCACATACACACACACACATAGTACTCAGTGGATGTCTGCTAAAATCCTCAACTCAAGAGAAATATACTAAATAAGTAAGTTAATAAACAGGCTTCAAAATAGAGTTACAGTATAACAAGATCACGGTTGAGAGGAACTATGATTAAAAATAGTTTTCTTCATCTTTTCTAAAGTTGGTACGTGTCCCCCGATCTTTACATATACCATACTTCACCATGAAAATTATAGTATTACAGATTTTTATTCTATTTAAACTACCTGCTAACCCGGCAAATATATCTCGCCATTCTAAATCTTTAATTTCATCTGACTCAAAAAGTTGTACTAAAGCCTGCCATATCTTTTGAACGCTCCCGCAAGATAACAATTAATGTTTGTATGTTTCTATTTCCCGTTTACAAAGCGAACATAAATTATCACCAATAAAAACAAATCTATAAAGATGCTCATTAGTATATATGCCTCCATTCAATAATCTAAATTGAAATTCTGGTTGGTTTTAAATGAGTATAGTAATTATTGGTCTAAAAAATATATATTTTATTTTTTTATCTATAAAATCGTAATTATGCACATGCACACACACGCACACACGCACACACACACGAACACACAGGCTCACCCAGGAACCCCCCCTGTCGATTTGTTGTTTTTGTTTTGTTTTAATTCTAAAAAAGAAGAAAATAATTATGCCAATGGCTGACTTGAAAAAGATGACCTTAGCAAAATGTCAAATTTTCAAATTTTGAGACCAAAAAAAAGTGTCCTCTTACCCCCCCCCCCCCCCCCCCCCCGCTTATTTAGCGGCTGGCTGAGTGTCGTTGCGAATTTTTTGGCCCGATTTTACCCCCCCCCCCCCGCTTATTTAGCGGCTGGCTGAGTCGTTGCGAATTTTTCATCTCTCTCTCTTTCTCTCTCCCACTCTTACTCATGTTTTTTCTATCTCGCACACAGACACACACACACACACACGCACACTATCTATTGGTTGTATGCAAAAGTAAATATACTATGTTTTTGAATAAAACGATAATATGATCAAAGCAGTTTAAAGTGATCAATTGTAAAAGAAAACATTCTCAGATAATTCTTAAAGAAAAAACGTTTCCATTTTTTAAAGGAACGATTATTACATAAATATAAATCATTTAATAAATGAGGATGAAAACATTTTGCCGCAAAATCTAGTAGTATTGGACTCGTGTCTACCTTTCTCTCATGTTTTAATTGCACGGTCACTTTTTATTCCAATGATATGAAGGAAACCAGTATGTTTTGCTTGAACTAAGAATTATAAAATGAATGTCGCTGTACATATGATTGGTACATGATATAGACAGAGATGAAAGCAACCTGTTTATTAAGCTTCTAAACTGTTTATAAACGTTTTTGTGTGTTCATACATGTCATAACTTAATATTGCTTTGATGGTCCGGAGCCATTGTTCCTCTCTCGTTTTCTATCACAAAGTCACTTTACCCAGGGATTACAAAGGAACGTAATTCTTTTTGATGGAATAAAGTTTCAAAGTTGTGGGCGTCTGCATATATTTGTTGAGTATAATATTTGTTTTTTATTGATCAAGGATGATTTCAATTCACATTGCATACCATTGTATGTAGCAAAGTTTGATGTAAATATGGAACTATTAAACTGCCAGTAGACGATTGTTTTATAATATTTACAACTGTTATATCATACTAAAATATTGGGCAACTGAAGGGCAAATGTCAATACATTATTAAATATCCCATGAAACTCATAGTTGGATTACGTAACAACTTTGTAATGTTTTCGGATCAAGGTGGTGATCAAGGCTATTGTAATTAGCGTAGACTTTTTTTTTTTAAGCGTGAGCGTTCAAACTTACCATTACCTAATCATTAAAGCACGCACATTTCAATTATGTGACATGAATACATATATATATATATCTATATATATATATATTAATAATTGGTACATATCATCTTGATTTATATATAACCTTTGTTTAAAAGTGGGTAATTGATCATATATCATAATATAAATTAATTATCAAATTTATTTTTAATTCAAAACAAATGGCAATTTTATATCATCAATGAAATTGTAAATCATATTTAAATATGCACAGTATTTGTAAGTTTTCTATATCTTGTTATGTTTCATATGTTAAATATATGCCATGTACCTTTTACTCTGTAAATTGAATAATTTCAGCTATCAGTGTCATCTGTATATTCGATGACATTTATCTCAATAAACCAATGCAATACAATAATATAATATACCCGGATATATTTAGAGTAGGTATGTTTTCAATACCTTCGCATATCAGTCATACATAATATTCAACAACGTTTCTAAAGTAAAATTGTTAGAGGTGCAATAATACATCCCAAATACAACCGAAAGTTCCATATAACAAATCAATTATATCACAACATTCTTTATATCCCTCATATTCAGTTGAAACGTGGTTAAATACAAGGCAATGCATATAACATAATTCTTAGACATGAAAATAAAGTGCATGACAAACTATGTACCTCTTGTGTACAGACGAATACTACTAAATAATGCCATACAAATGACATGATAACCTCGTTTTCTGTTTCCCTTTTTCACAGCTTAAACATTCTAATGGTCGTAAAGATGAAAATGTTTAGTTCCAACATAGTGTATTTATGTACATGATAGAGTTCAAATGTAGTTTAAACAGAAGGTATAGGACTATTACGCTTTGAGTATTATGCACTTTGTTGTATAAAGATTTATATATAAAACTAACAGAAGAATATATCCATCAAAACGAGGGGAAAAAAAGAGAATAATAGTTCGATGATTATGAGGTACAGATGAACATTCAAGATATATCTGTTTTTTCCATCTGTATAAATGAATCATGTTGCATTCTAAGCATAATTCGTATCCAAGTGCGGTAATACATTAATTTGTATGACTGATTAAAAAACTGATATGTTCATCTAATCCATCGAAATGGAACATGGAAGGTTAAGGTTATGGGGGTACTAAAGGTATTTACGGCGGGGTGTAAGAGGGTACTTAAGTCGTTGAATGTGTTATGACGTCACGATGTAAATTTATTTCAAAAGGCCCTCCATGTCATTCTTGGTGAGATTGTAAAGGTGCAACAAATTCGACAGATGACTGAATTGACCTTTGAACTCCTGTATCAAATGAAGAAAAAAATGAAATGTCGTATAAATGAATCCGTAAGAATACTTACGTGCAAATCCCGCTTCACCTGTTTATCTCGTAGACGTTATACTATTATTCCGTCACTAAACTTATATACAGAGGTCATGTCAGTATCAAACCAATTTCTGACTTCCATTATATGACTTTATTTATATTCACTCAATGATTTTGCCGTCAGATTATGTAGCGCAGAACAGACAGCACGTGGCAATTCGTTAATCAAAATTTAAACTAAATCCGTCTTTATCACTATTAAGCGACCCTAGAACCAACACTTTATTTAACCCTTACCATGACCCTAAACCTAACCTAAAATCCGATTGCAACCTGGACCCTAGCCCTATACCTTTGAAAAAATAAATCCCAGGGGCATTTGTCAAAGGAGCTAATGTTCGGACACTGGTCACCTTCATGAAGTTACAGATATTTTTTGGTCTCGTGAGCTATTATCATTATCTCCACCTAGGTGTAAATGGTTACTTGATATAAAGCTCTAACAAATGGTAAGAACGGTCCAGGAGTGTGTTATACAAGAACAAATTACCAACAATTATTTCTCCGTCATCGTAGTCATAGCCGGTGGCCTAATATCTATCGCACCAGCAAATTTGAAACCTATTAACACTTTGGTGAAGAGTGACGAACATGGGTCAATGTCTTGTGAAAGTAAGTTAGTGCTGGGCTGGGATTCGATTCTCATTAATCGGACTGAGCTTCACATGGATGAACCACTAAACAACAATAGGGACTTTTAGATTTGCGTGGACTGATGCGTGTGACGTCCATTCAAGGCAGTGCATTAAAAGGACGTCGATCGTAGCAATCCCCATGGTCTTCGTGCGAATCTAAAAGTCCCTATTACTTCATCATTAAACCCTATCCGTATTATACTAATATACCTTAGAGATAGAGGAGCAGGCCTTGTTCAGCTTTCCTGGTCGGACCTTGGGTTGACTTGTTACCTGGGTGCAGTAATCAGTCATCATCTTTCTCTGGAGTGGATGTTCATTGTAGTAGGGAAGGTGATCCGATTCAGCCTAATGTGAAAGATCATACATTTAAGATGAAAAAATGAATGCAATATGAGTACTTAGGTGTTGCATTTTGGAGATCTATATTTCCCAAATTCAGTATATGGAGACTTGAAATGTCACACCAATTTCCCATCACCAAGATCAGAATTAGAAATGTAATGATTAAAACGAAGGTTTCTACATGGTTTAGGAACCAGATACACCAACCATCCTGGAGTCTTTCGGATCTAGGGACCAGTTCAATAAAATCCATTCCATCTCATTTGAAAGGCAGTATGGATTGTGACATGACAAAATCAGTATTATTATCCTCACTGATGTCGAATTACCTGTCTCAAGGTGTTGGTCGTTGCTGCGTCATTAAGAGCACCAGCGAGAGCGATGACACATCTATCTGCTGTTTCTGATCTCGGCATCTCAAACATCGATGGTAGGTTGGTGAGAACTGAACTCCAGAAGTTAGACAAGCTGTGAATGGAAGTTATTCACACATCATGAGATTACACAAATTGGATTTATTTTCTTACAACTCATTGTTGGTAGGGGTGTGAGTAAACAATTCCACTCCTCTAAAAGGCTTTAAATGAAAAATATGTTAGACTGGGGTAGTTCTCTTTAATATATCTGTTGACTTTTGTCAGGAGGGGAGAGGTATTTGGTGGAGCAAGACGTAATATCGGCGGAACGTATTCCCAAAACGCCGAACGAACTTGAGTAGACAGATGTTTCGCTTCACCACGGTTGTTGCTATTGATGGGTGGTCATAAACATAAAAACGAGGTAGCTTTTCTCGGTGCACTGATAATTATGAAACTGTTTATCGTCATAGGCATGAATTTATGGTAATGACTGAATATTTTTGCCAGAATAATGTACTATTTACATACTGTTTGAAGATGACTACACACAGGTGAACTATGAAATACAACACTGTAATAAATTATAATACATAATGTTTTCAAACACTTAAATACATGAGCCCTGCTCACCAATTTTTCTTCCATTTATCCGCGCAATCCTCAGGCAATCCTCCACCCGCATACTTCATAGCCAGTTCATCAAATGTGTCAAAGAGATGCTTGACAGGTAGAGGGATCTTAGCTGGTTTCTTGAACATCACTTCAAAGATACCATCCACATATGGACTGATAGATGCCTATAGCAATGATATAAAGACGACCATACTAACATCAAATGGAAATCCTTTCCGTGAACCATGTATGATATTATAGAATAATTATTAGTATTTCACCTTTACAACACTATACAACATGTTTACATATTAGAACAAACATATTTCAAATTACATCAACACATAAAAAGAGAGATTTAATGTTTATTCAAGAAATTTGAGTTCCTTTTAATTTCTAATGATAAACATATATAGTTGAATGAGACTACATTTACAATGACTGGAATGTGAAAAAAATAATGATTAATTGATTGATTGGTGGATGGTGAGATATATTGAATCAGTTTTTGTCATAATAACACTGAATATGCAGCTCAAGTGAAGGGCTGAACATGTTCAATTAACAAAGCAAAACATACAGAATACATACAAGTCGAATTCAAACTCAAGACGTATCGATTATAAAATAGAAAATTAATTCTCAGGATTTCAAGAAGCCGAGAGAAATAAGTTTCAAAGGATCAGTATAGAACCGAAATCCGCTACGAAAATCTATTAAAGACTCACCTTCATAGTTAGCATATGGGGGATCGCTAGATTTCGATCGAGGTTTGCTTTCATTTTATTCATATGATCAGGCAGGTTACCCCTTTTCCTTGTTAGCTCTTCTTCACCACCCTGCAAAAAAAATGAACAGCGAACTTTTATTTTGCCTCTATTTGCTCTTCCACCATATTTCTCCTTTTCTATTTTGTATCTTCCCCTTTCTCTCTTTCCCTCGCTTTATCTCTATCTGCCTCTTGTTTTTTCTCTTTCTCTTTCTGTTATCCTGTCCTCTCCCTCTGTATGTCACTATCGCTTTCCTGTCTTCTTCTCCTGTCTCTCTCTCTCCCTGTCCTCCTCTCGTCTCTCTCTCTCTTCGTTTCCATTTCTCTATTTCTTTGTTTCTGCTCTGCAATGTTTATCCCCCATTTAATTATTGCTAAAGTCATTGAGAATTTAGACAATCAATATGGGATTTTACAGAGGAGTCTCAGGGTTGCGGACTTGGGGGAGTTTCGAATCCATGAGTGGGTTGTGCAGACGGACAAGCAGCCCAGACGGACAAGCAGACGGATAAGCAGACCACCCATGTCCACTCCCGATGACTCAAGCCCACACGGTCATGTATAATTTCCCCCACGTCCGCACACCGGTGATTTAAGCTTACGCACGCCAGATATTCTCCACTCCTGACGACGAATAGTCAACCTGTTCGAAACGTCGAGCCAGTCCCGCCACCCATCCTCTATAAGCTAAGAAAGATAGCCAACAATCTTTTTCAAGACTAAACCAACAGTCCTTTTCGGGACTACACACCCTCAAGAAAGATTACCGAGAGTCCTTTTCAGGTCTCCTCACTCCTACCTCTCTCTCACATGGTGCACCCGCAATCCTACTGTATATGTGATTAAAGGTGTATTGTAAACCAGGAAAATATAAGCAAAATGCTTTCAACCTTTAAAGCCACACTGTCCTACTTGTAGCTACTTACTCCCTCTATATAGAAAACAATGCCCAATCGATGACCATTGGTCCCCCATGATCCTCTATTCTTATGTTAATTGAGAGCTGAGTTGATGAGATAATCACCTGTCCAGTGACCTTGCAGTGTGGTCTAATTCCTCCTATAAACTAGTACAGATAAGCTTTAATATTTCGAAAGCAGGTGCACATAGAATAAGTAATCCATGATATTAATCAAAGTCCCCTACGGATCTTTGAAAGTATTAGAGTATTGAATTGAATAGTATAATAAATTTATATCCACATACAGCGTGAAAAAAATAGAATGGTAGAAGAAAAGTTACTAACCTTCAGATGGATAGCATTTAAAACTGGCTGTGAGGGCTGTGATTCAGGGATCATCTCCACGGTCACATATTGCAAGGATTCGTCTGTAAAAAAAAAGATGTTTATAGTATATGCCTGAATGTCAGTGAAAGGTGCAATTTCCGCTATCGCCATTACCTCCAAAATGCTCGGATGTAATTTTCAAGCCCGATTTCAAAAGCACTCTGGTCTCTGCAGGGCCGGAGCCGCAGTCACCGAGCCATCTAGCTGCCTACATGCCACCTTTCACTTCGTCTTCGGTTCTATTTGATTGTATATCGTAAGCAACTCTATACTTTTACAAACTGAATTGTCAGTTTGAATAAGGTGCGATGCTGTGAGTCTGCTGTGTGCTGGTCGCTTGATAACAAACGCGAAAACCTTCGGAGATATCCTTAGATGAGAGATGTGACTTTGGTAAAATTCTCAGCAAACCCTACATAGCGCGCTAATTGAAAGAAATTGCTCAGAAGGCAAGACAAGTTTGAAATCAAGCAAGATAGCGACTTTATTAGTGGCATTTTGACAAAGAACAATTACTAAAAGGTGAAAAAGGAGTGGTATTCCCTAAGTATTTCTTCTGGAACAATTATGGACTTGTAAAATGTTCAAGGAGGTTGGTAGTAGCCGACAAGAGCGCTCTTCGGATACGTTTACCGTATGCACCGTTTTCACGGGAAGCATATAAGTACCGGAAGTAGTTCGAAATTACGTCCAAGAGGTCCACATCGGGGCATTTTGGGGAATTTGCGATAGCGAGAATCAATACAACGCCTCGTGTGCACCTAACCTCATAGTAATTGAATATGTCTTGTCTTACATGTCTCTGAAGATACTTCTTTCAGATCGAGGGTTTGATATTCATCACCATAGTTCTTCGGTATCAGTGCAACGTGGGATCCGTTTCTAATCTGGAAGTACAAAATATAGTTATAAATTTGATTTAATGTTCCGCAGTAATATTTATGACCACCCTATCTGCACAGGGTCAATAAGTTATGTGTTCACCGTGCACAGTGCCTGGAGTTAAACAAATATTTGTGTGAAAAAAATTACATGATCAGCTAGCCCTGCGCAGCTAGGGTACATACGACATTACTACTTTAAAAAAATGCTTAACCATTGTTTACATGCGTACCTCTGTATTAGCCGGGTACGAAAATGATGTGTATCCTCGATATTGGTCAAAACATAAACTATTCCTGTTTATGAGAGTTATTTAACAGTTTCATTTATTCAGTGCTTAAACACCAATACCATTAATACCCCGGCCAATGCCAGATTGATATTCAGGATAATTATCCTGGTATATCAATACAAACACGTCCATAATTATAACAAAATTGCAAATCCCCTTGTCAGTTCTACAAGGTCAAATTTAGTGCTTACACATAGCATTTACGATTACTAATAATATAATTATGCATAAACACACTGCTAATAAACTTTAAGCTAGTAACGTACCCCAAAGCTCTTCATTGTATTGATCATGGTTTTCCCCGGTGTCTCAGAGGATTTATCTATTTCTTGTAGCAAAGTGATCCTGTCAGAAGTTTCAATCCACACTGTAAAAAAACAAAAGATAGAACGAGGGGAAGTTTTGATATCTCGATAACAGCAATTATTATGCTTTGATCATATCAAAATTCTCTATGGCATAGTCTATAGTCCATCCCTCATGGTCCCCTTTTTCTTATGTTAATTGAGAACTAATTTGTTGAGATAATCACCTGTCAGGGACCATGCAGGGAGGTCTAATCCCTCCTGGCCAAACTAGTGCAGAAGGGCTTTAAAGGCTCATTACATTATTAGTAAAATACATATATTTTCCCCACAGTTATTACGCACTGTTCTGTTTTTTCAGCCAATGATTGTGGAAATGTTTCAACTGCTCCCGACTTTGTTTTTTGTTAAAGATATGGGGTTGGAGTTCGCATCGAGTTATGTGTAAGGCTTATGGTTAGGCTTCGTTTTGGTCCATGTTCTAAGCAAGCAAATCGGTTGGTGTACGAAATAAGCCGCAGATTATTATTCATTAATCATTATTATGATTTCATTCATTACTCTCACCTAGATCAACTGCATCTATGTCCCTCGGCAGCAAGCAGTAACTCTTCTTCCAGAGTGAGTCTAGGATCTTCTGTTTGGCTTGTTTCACAGTATCAACATCCAACACAGTCATATGAAGATAAACATGTCCGTCTTCATCAACAACATCAATGCCCTAGAATGGCAAGGGAAATAGAACGTTGATAGCAGATATTGATATTGTTTATTCTCTTTAAATAATGAAGGCTGAAAATTGTGTCAATCTGCCGGTCAACTGAATATGGTCTCGCCATAAACACTATCCTGTCTCTGTGGCCTAGTGGTTAAGGCATTACAAGCTAGGATCGTGGGTTCGATTTCGAAAGAGACTGGTTTTAACCTCCGACCCCCCCCCCCTCCCCACTCAGTGTTATTTAGGGAACGCGTATGCATGTTCCCTCCTTTTGAAAACATCCCCCTAAGTCCGATATGTAAAGTCAATACGGGCCGGATTTGTGTGTACTACGAGCCGGACTTTGGTGCGTGAAAAGTACCCCTTTACCGGACATTTTAGGAACATGCATGCGGTCCCTCCGACCCCGGTGTGGAGGGGGTGGGTTTAACCTTTCTAACAATTTTAATGTATGGCAGCACAGTGGAACAATAATGTAGCTACAGACCGCGAGGCATGGATCTTAAATTACGATGGAAACTCTTTGGGTATTTAGATATTTAGCTTTGAAGCCGGTCGGGGCAATTTATTCATACACAATCAGTCACTTATATTATCACCCATTATAGGCAGCCAACTTACGAGAGAATAAAATTCAATTTCCTGATCAAGGAGTTTGCTAAACTCTAGTGTGTAGTATGCATCTCCAGTAACGACATCTATAGGACCTTTCTCTGCCTGGGCCTTTACTGCTTGGTACAGCATGTACAATGGGTAGACGCCATACACCTGAGGTAGTACCAACAAAGATGAGGAGAAAAAAGGGCTAAATAGGAAAGGGTACATAGGCCATGTAATATTCATATTCGACTTGAGTAAGTCGGCAGTGTGGATAAAAGCGCTGGTAGTATTCGGGGAATAAAATTCCTGTCAGATACCCATTAAATACACCAGGATGGAAAGTGGTAAATGTAGAGTCAGAATTAAAAGATCAGATTAATTTATTTACTATGTCCGTAATAGTGCTTAGCATGAATAATATGACAAATAACATAAATCGAAATGTCACAATGTTTTCATGTTATTAAAATGAGAATTGCCATTCATAAATATTTAAGAATTTATTCGTTTATATTAAGCGTGAAGACACAACCGAGTTTATTGACTTCACTATAAAATATGTAAACTATAAAAGAAGATAAATATGACATATTATATTTGAGAACAAACCTCACCTTCAAGTACTCGAACATAAACAGGGCAAACCAGTTGTTGATCAATTTCTCTGCGATTGATTCAGTGCTGAAAAAAGAGGAAATATTTTCAAAGAAAAATATGAACAAGAATTCGGATTCTAGAAATTGATACTTTTAAACGTAAACATAACATTAAAAGTTAGCTTACTAAAGGGCCCATGACATCGAAATACAAGTGTATTCCTGTTGGTGTGTAGTCCTGCATACATCTCATATTTTGATATGTAAACTTTTGAATTTGTTTCATAGATTTTGAAATATTTTTTGAAATATTTGTTTTCAAACTTGCTAAGCTCCACCCCAAAATCCTCCAGATCTCATTTCCCTTGTGACATCACCTGTCAGTCATCAATGAGCTAATTTGAGAAAGTGGTGTGTATCTTTGCCGAAGTCGACCAACTGTTACAATACGTAATAAATATCAACACACAAGTTGCTATGTCAGACATGCTGTAGCATCACCAGGAAGACAAAGGCAATGATGATGTATTGTACATATGTATGGAAGCATGCAATTCTATTATGAACTTTTGCTAAGCTGGGGGAAATTACATACCATTGTTTATTCTAGAATATTAGTTTAGTCTGACATGACTGACATAGCAACGTATATCTTGCTATTGTTTGTAGTATTGTAACAGGTGGTCAACTTTGGCAAAGTTACATGCCACTTTGTCAAGTTAGCTCATTGACGACTGACATAAAAATGATAAAGATGTGTGTAAACAAAATGATTACTTGGTAAATAGGGTATCCATCCGTCTTCTGGACTTAGATGCTGTTACGATTTCATCTTCAACAAGTGATGTCAATACACTGAAGATAAACACGAACAGGGAGGAAAGAAAACATTACAAAATGTTAAGGAAAATATCCGGGTAAATTATGACAATAATAAAAACACGTGTTTATTCCTCTAGGAAAGCGCAGGTGAGCATTTTGGGAAAAAGTGACACAAATTATAATTGACTATTTGCTGTTGACATGATCGCCGTGAGCTTGAAGAAATCAACTAAATGGCAATTTCAAGACGCTATTGTTTTTATCCGATAGAAATTATATTCGGATTATGTAACGTTTCATTGGAACATTCAATAGCTAGTAGAGAGCCTGTTGAAATTGCGTTGTGTTGCTTTTTCGAAAGTCTTTGCTTTGTTTCACTTCAGGTTGTCAAAGTTATTTGCTTTTACAATATGTTTTACAATATGGAATTCAACTACAAGACGTAAACTTACTTTGTAAAGTGGATCGACTTTCCCTCGCTGACGAATGTGATTGCCAATAGAGATGCAATAAGCTCCCTACAAAAGAAAGGGGAGAAGCCGCATATTGCTCCGTTATTTCTGACCATGTTGAAATCAACAACAGACAGTTGTCGAGGTGGAAAGGGAGTTTATAATTCGTATATATAAATTCATTAGATTTATGACACAATAATAACAATTATTTTGTTGGGGGGGGGGGCTGGGTCAAATTTATTAAAGTAAATGTCTTAGGAATTAATCAGAAACACACTATTTGGTATCGGCTTTATACAGGTGTCGTAGCCGAGAGGTTGATGGGTGTTCGTGTACTTGACTGAAGATGCTAACTTCATGAAGCCCAAGTACGGCATTATTGTCCTTTAACAGGATATCAATTAAACTTTGCCATTCTTGCCTTTAGTCCTGGCGGTCTGTTCATTAAATAATGTTATAAGAATAAACTCGAAAAATGCAGGGTGTACTGACGTTTAATAGTATCCGAGCAAGAACCATGGTCGTAACGGAACGTTTATATGGTGTATACAGGCTTTATACAAGAAGCAAAAGCTTTAATGAATGTTATGACCTTATATTATCTCGTTGAAAATAAATATGTTTTCTAATATGCAATGCTTCTAACTTGTATATATCGTAGAGTATTCACATTCAGCACCAAAAGAAAAGATATTCGTGTACCTTTCTCGACCCAGTCCCGTTTTCTTATTTTCGAGTTGCCTGATGAATTCTATCATTCCGGCCTTCTCCTTCAGCATACGATAGAACGATATCAACGAATGCTCCATAAAGTCTTCCATGTACTGAAACAAAATAGACCGGAATATCATTGAGCAGAAACATTTACAGAAGATACAATCAAGCAGAAGAACCGATGCAAAGCATTTGAGTGAACTGCACACTTTTAAACATCAAGCACCGTGTTATCCATCTATTTATATATATCCTATGTAAACCTTGAAGACGAACCACCGTAAGTCTCTTATAAGATGCTTAAACAGAATAGCTGCCTATAAATCACTAGTCTAATATGTTTACAGTTAGCATTTCTTTGTGATATAAAACTTATTGTTTAGAAGAAAGCCTTTTCATATCAAGATTATTTTACCTCTGGTTCTGTTGTTTCTGGATGAATACCGAGCCCAGCAAACAACATCATTGTGACATATTGGACATGCCCTACAAATGGAACTCCTTGCTTCTGGACTCTGTCGTCAGCCTCAGATAAATCTAAGCTGGTATTTGAGACTAATGGACAAATGCGATGAACAAAGACATCATAATTAGTGTGGGTTTTGTTTAAGTCTATCTAAGGCGAAAGGGTTGCATGGGGGATATATTTCATACAGATATGCGGGTTAGATATTTCAATGTTCATGTTTTTTTCAAAGGAACGGGCGTAAAATAATCATACATCTTTTGTCCGCAATATAAAAATTGTTTATATCATTTGATTGTATCTACACTGTATTTTTGGACACCTAAATGAAAACTTGAATACTTCTTTTATTTGATACAGGATAGAGTTATGGTATGTGCTAAGGAAGCGTTATAAGGGCAGTTCATAGTCGTTTGAAATGATCATACCCGGTTATCACGATTCTTTTGATTGTGGAGTCGATCAGGTCCAGAAGGACTTCTTTCCTCATAGCATAGCAAGTTAATTGACGTTACATGGGCTCTATCCACGGGAGAAGACTAAACACCATTCCCGAAATGTAATAATATAGCCAAATATGATGCCTTTACAGCTGACGTGGTATTACTAGAAAGGTTTGTAGCAAATAATAATTAATACCTTCTCGAACTCTTTTCAAGATGTTCAATCGGATCATTTTGACCTCTT